CCTAGGCCCTCCCCCGTGTGTCTAGGCTCAGGGAGTATCCCTCTATATGAATTGGGCTCCCAAAGTTCATTCCTATTCTAGGAATAAGTACTGATCTACTACAAGAGGCCCCATAGATTTCCTAGGTCTCCTCACCAACACCCACGCTTATGGGGTCTGGATAAATCCCATGCTGGTTTCGCAGCTGTTAGTCTGGGGACTAAGAGCTCCCCCTTGTTCAGGTTAGCTGTTTCTGTGGGTTTCACCAGCCTGGTCTTGACCCCTTTGCTCATCACTCCTCCTTTTCTGCAACTGGATTCCAGTTCAATTCAGTGTTTAGCTGTAGGTTGTCTGCTTCTACTTCCATCAGCTGCTGGATGAAGGCTCTAGGATGGCATTTAAGTTAGTCATCAGTCTCATTATCAGGGGAGGGCATTTAAGGTAACCTCTCCTCTGTTGCTTAGATTGTTAGTTGGTGTCATCCTTGTAGATCTCCAGACATTTACCCAGTGCCTGATTTCTCTTTAAACCTATAATGGCTCCCTCTATTATGGTATCTCTTATCTTGCTCTCCTCTATTCTTCCCCCGACTCAACCTTCCCGCTCCTTCATATTCTCCTCACCCCTCCTCTTTTCCCCTTCTCATTCTCCTAGCTCCTCTCCCCTCCCCCCATGCTCCCAATTTGCTCAGGAGATCTTGTCCCTTTCCCCTTCTCCGGGAGATCATGTATGTCTTTCTTAGAGTCTTCCTTGTTTCCTAGCTTCTCTGTCAGGGTGGATTGTACTCTGATAATCCTTTGCAGAGTCAAGTTCTTTCTGCAGGAGATGGCTATGTCTTGTCAACCCATAGATTAAGTGAGGCCTGCCCTGCTCTGCTTCCCTAGTCACAGCTGACTAGAGCAGAGATCAGCTCCTGAGCTGGAGCTGCTCAATAATGGCCGGAGTTGGAGCAAGCCAGGAGATGTGTAGAGAACAGTAAACTGAACAGCACTGGAGGAACGGGGGCTGGATGTAATAGTGTGGTCCGGGGAATGAACAGGAAGTCATTTACAATTTGCCAATCAGGCTTGAGGCACCTTCCACTGTGCAGAATGCTAGCTGCAGCAGAGTTGCTCTAACATTAAGGCAATATTAGAGATCCTTCCTCCTTCTCCATGAGGCATAGTAATAAAACCCTGTTTCCAGTGGCTCTCGGTCATTTTGAATCTGTAGCTGGAGCATAGAGGTGTGGGCTATTCACTAGAAATGTCTGTTTCTCTTCCACACAGTAGGACTGTTTCTGGGAAGTGGCTGCTTAGCCAGGGATTATGTTTTTAGCACCTCTTGCATACAACTGGGACTATGTGACTAGTCATCCACAGAATGAGATTGCAAGTGGTGTGAGTCATTTCCAGACTCGGGCAGCAAAGATGACTCCTTGTGCTTTTTGTTTATGTTGGCTAGGACTCCAAGGCTCTAGAAATAGAAGAGCCACAGCTGAGAAGAGCCTAGGTCCTCAAATCACTATATGGCAGAAAACTACTTGTTGGCCAGGAACCCATCAATGGGTCAGTAATGTAGGTAAGAAAGGCCTAAGACTTATGGGGGTTATTTGTTACAACATAACCTGAGTGGCTAGAGAGACACTCTTTTTGGCAGCACAAGGTCATTGACCAATCTGTACTAGACACTGATGGGATGAAGGGTTCATAGGTTCTGGAAATTATACTGTTTGTTTCCTCATGTGTGCTAGGTTGTACCCTGTACCATGCAGAAACCTGTACAGCCTACCTGAACATTCCTTCCATCCAGAGACTAGGTATGCCTAAATCATAGCTGAAGAAACTTTATTGGTCAATTTCAATGCTCTTGGAGGAGTAATAATAGTCCTGCAGGGCCCTTAAGTTATGCCCCTCTGGTCAAGACATTTTTGCTGGCAATACAAAAAGGGAAAGAAAAGAAACTTATCCAAGTAAATATGATTGTACTAGTATACCCCCAAATAATGAGAGTTAAATGGTTAAGCTGTTTCTAATTATTATACTATAACAAATAATGAATCACCTAAGGTATAAAAAGACTAATTTTGAACAAATACCTTTGCCCACATGCTTGCTTTATATGCATCTTTTTGTGAGTTTGCTTATGTGGTTCTTAAAGGACTAGTACCAAACAGGCATTTTTGTTTTGTTTTGATTTGGTTTGGTTTTTGTTTGTTTATTTGTTTATTTGTTTTGGTTTTGGTTTTTCAAGACAGTGTTTCTCCATGGCTTTGGAAGCTGTCCTGGAACTAGCTCTTGTCGACCAGGCTGGTCTCAAACTCACAGAGATCCGCCTTCCTCTCCTCCCAAGTGCCGGCATTAAAGGCGTGCACCGCCACTGCTCAGCCAGGCATGTTTTTAATAGGGAAAGATAGGAGGGGAAAACAGGAGTTGGCATGGACTCAGGAGTATGTATTGATTCCGGGAACTTCCCCAGTGGCATGGGAAAAATGCAAAGTTCTTAAAGCTCAGAGTCCCTACAGACACTGGTGTCTTTGTTGTCACCTGCTTAGGAAGTGGGAACTTGTTTCTAAGGTAATGAGAAGCCACTGAAGAATGTAAACAGGAAGTGAACAACTCTCCTACTTAGCCCTGTGCTCTAGGCACGTCACCACAGCCAGCCAGCATTTCCTTGTGGTAAAATGGGGATGGGTCCATCTTCTAGTGCTCAGACCGAGCTCACTCGCAACAGATCCCACCTCTTCTGTGTGATCTTCTACTTTGCAAGAGAAGTAGCTTTAGGAAAACCAGGCTGGGCTGTTTGCCACTCACTACTAAAGTTGGATGGGTGGGGGACTCAGCCAAGGCCGCATAACTTTCCTCTATCTTAACGTGGAAGAATTCAAGACTAGTGTTATTGTTTTTTTGTTTTTTCTACAGAAGTTCTCTCATTTAAGAAAAAAGATTTATGCCGGGCATTGGTGGCACACGCCTTTAATCCCAACACTCGGGAGGCAGAGACAGGCGGATCTCTGTGAGTTCGAGGCCAGCCTGGTCTCCAGAGGGAGTGCCAGGATAGGCTCCAAAGCTACACAGAGAAACTCTGTCTCTAAAAACCAAAAAAGAAAAAAGATTTATTTTTTCATGTGTATGTGTGTGGTGTGCTGTTGTGAGTGTATGTCAAATGTGTGCAGGTCCCTGCACAGACCAGAGGAGGATGTTGGATGTCCTGGAGCTGGAGTTACAGGTGATCCGGAGCTGCCTGATATGAGTGCTGGAGATTAACTCGTGTTCTCTGAAGGAGCAACAATTTCTGTTAATCGCTGAGCCACATTGCCAGTCCTCCAGAAGTCCTCTTAGCTCGACTGGAAATCACCACTCCCTTTGGCAGGAAAGATACAAATGTGAATGATTATAATTTATTAAATATGTATGGAGTGACCTATTAATTCCCGAAGTCATTTGGCTACAGGAAATATACCAGTGACCAAGACATAAAAATCACTGACTTGACGAGTTATGCTAGATAGTTTTATGTCAACTTGACACAAGCTAGTGTCTTCTGGGAGCAGGGAACCTCAACTAAGAAAATGCCTCCAGCTGGGCGGTGGTGGCACATGCCTTTAATCCCACCACTCGGGAGGCAGAGGCAGGCAGATCTCCATGAGTTCAAGAGCCTGGTCTACAAGAGCTAGTTCCAGGACAGCCTCCAAAGCCACAGAGAAACCCTATCTCAAAAAACAAAATAAAACAAAACAAAAAATATGCCTCCATAAGATCCAGGCTGGAGACAAACCTGTAGGTCATTTTCTTAATTAGTGATTGTTGGGGGATGGCCATGGTGGGTGATACCATCCCTGGGCTGATGGTCCATGGTGTAATAAGAAAGCAGGCTGAGCAAATCATGAAGAGCAAGCCAGTAAGCAGCACTCTTCCATGGCCTATACATCAACAACTGTCTCCAGATTCCTGCATGACTTCCTGCAATGATAAGCAATGATATGGGAGCATAAGCCAAATAAACTCTTTCCTCCCCAGTCTGCTTTTGGTCATGGTGTGTTATCACTGACCCCCAACTAAGACATCAGTCTTTCCTAATGGAAAGGGCAAATGAAATGCAAATTAAGATGAAAACTTAAATTTGTTAGTTTCAGTGAGTACCATAATGAAAAAAAAAAAAAGATTCTCTGAGAATAATGGACAGGACCTGTTTTAGGTAGAAGGTCAGAGAAGGTTAAACGCCTGAGTTGGGGACATTGAAACCCAGGTTTAGAGGAGGAAGAGGCACTGGGGTTGTTGGCAGAGATATGAGGTTTCCAGAAGGAGGGAAGAGAGGTAGAATGAATGAGAGTGTGACAGAAGAACTGAAAACCACCACTGTGTCTGAAGCACCCTCGATAAGGGGAAGGGTGACATGAGATGAACCTACAAAGGCAGCACTTACAAGGATATGTTCAAATATCTCTGCTGGCACTAGAAGAAAAAATAAACAAACAACTAGGCAGGCTCTGCAGATAAAGATAAATTTGGGAGTGAATCCTATTTTCTTTGCCCTTCATTATCTGTGAGATCTTGAATATGTTACCCAACCTTCCAAGGGTCCAGCCATCTCTTCTGGAAAGAGATTTGGTAGCAGACACCCACCTCACAGGGAGTTTATGAATATTAATAAGAAAACACATGTGAACACTTAGCAGAGTTCCTGGCACTTAGTAAGTACTCCACTCAAGTTAGATATGGCTTTTACTAATAGGTGGAGCATGGAGACAGCCAGGCAGACCTCTGTTGAACCCACTTCTGTGGTGTCATTGCATTATGCCTTGGGAAAGTCTCTGCTGCATCTTTTTCTTCACCTGTGACTGAGATTTCAAATTCCTACCCCAAAGAAATCTGGCTCTGATGAGCTTTATAATGAGGTTATGATGGAGATTATATTAAGTGATTTATGTGCAGTCATCCTGAAGGAGGGGTCATTCGTGCCTCATAAATATTTTTGAAATAATCTTTTAAATATTTTAGCTGTTTGAAAAATATTTTCCCAAATATTTCCAGTCTTGTTAAAAACTTCTAAAACTTTTATTAAATATATATAATAAAAGTTTTAAAAGTTTGTACATATATATGTACTACATATAAATAGTATGTGTGTGTGTGTGTGTGTGTGTGTGTGTGTGTGTGTCTATGTGTATAGCTCTGCACCACATTCATGCAATACCCACAGAGGCCAGAAGAAGAAGGCTTTGGATCCCTGGGATTGGGGTTACAGATGGGTGTGAGCTACCCTGTGGCTGCTGGGCATCCACAACGGATGCTCTGGAAGAATAAATAACCAGTACTCTTAACAACTGAGCTCTCCCTCCAGCCCCTTTTCCAGTTTGTTAATAAATCAGAAGGGGGTGGGGGTGTAAAACCAGATGAAAATCAGTTCTAACATTTGAGTTTGCGTTTGTTACCAGCTGGAATAATAGCTGGCCAAGGGAAGATGGGATTTTCTACTGTCTTCTAGTCCTCAGCAAAACTGATTTCTCAGTTCTTACCATGACTTTCTTCCAAGGAGAAGAAAACACACCCTGCACCTTGAGTTGAGTAATTAGGCTGGGATGAAATGCCAGCTTGCCCAAATCCAGTACTTGGCACTGAGGCTGGAACTGCGAGCCACAGTGTGCCCTGTGTGGCTGTCAACTGCCAGTCTAGAAGCTTTCCCTTCATTAGAACAAACAGCACCACTGGCAGAAATTCTGGGGACTACATCAGAGGGAAGCAGTTACTTGAACTATGGCTACTCTTTCTTAATTAGTGATATTGGAATGTGTGTGGTGGTGTTCAGACTCACAGAACTTTGACTCCTTGAAACTCCAGTGGCACAAACCTCTTGTAAAATGTTGGATGACTCCTCAAAAGTAGGAGTCTTCGGGGCTGGGTTCTCAGTTCCTCCTATTGGCAGGAAACTAGGTGTTGTACTGGGAATGGGTGTGTCCTTGTTTTCTACTTAATGCTGTGGGACACTCTGGTGGCCATAAATAGAATAGCTATTCAGTGGGGTTTGTGTAATCTTGAGTGGCTCAAGTAGAGACAGTGTTTTATTCAGATCCAATACGAAGCTGATAAAATGACCTATTTGGCTGAACATGGGCTAATGAGGGTCTGCATCCTGCTTTGTGTGCTCTTGTCTTTGGTAAACTTCTCAGAGCAGTGGGGAAAGGAATGCTGTATGCACCGAGTCTTTTTTAAAAAGATGAACATAGAGATGTTTGGTTGAACTGTATTTGGTTCCAGATGTGTCAAAGCTCAATTTGGGCCAGAATTCAATTTTATTCATGGGCTTCTAAGTTAATTCATTCTCATCCTTTTGAGCAGAGATTCTCTGACAGTCAAGAACCTAGCTGTTGAAGGCTCTAGTGGTTGGTAATCCGTGGGGCACTGCCGAGGTGCATCTTGGTTATGCCATACAAGAACCCAAGAGTTCTTGTCTCTCCTGCCAGTACTTCACATAATGGTTTGGGGTTTGGGGTTTTGTTTGGTTGGTTGGTTGGTTGGTTTTTACTTTTTTGTTTTTTTGGAGACACATAATGATTTTATAGTTCATTGTGTTCTGTTTTGTAGAATTATCTCAAGAGGTATTCTAGCGGCTGGTGGTGTAGTTCAGCAGTGGAACTCATGCTTAGCATGCTTGGGACCCTGGATTCAACCTCAATGTAAAACATCATCTTAGGTTGATTAGTGTTGTAATTATAGTAAAAATCCATTGTATCTTATGCATCTTTATTTTAAATATATTTTATTAAGCCTTTGAGAATTTTATACAGTGCACTTAGATAATAATATCCCTGCTCTCCCTAACATCTCCCAGAGCACCCCTACCCCCTCTCAACTTCATGTCCTCGTTTTAAATTCTTCATTAAAAATAAGAGCCCGCTGAATTCAATTTGTTTTAATATTGAAGAAAATGCTTTCTGATCACACTTCCCCTCTCCACCTCCTCCAGACCCTCCTACCTTCCTGCTCGAATGATCCCATGCCTGTTCTCTTTCTCTAAAATACAAACAAAAATCCCCTAAAATAAGCACAAGCTCTCAACAAAATTACAAAACTAGAAACCAAAATATATAAACAAAAGACTCATAAGACAAAAATTTGCCCAAACAAAGCAATAGGAGACAAAAAGTCTACAAAATTACCATTGAGTTTGGGTTTTGCTGGTCAATGGGCATGGGGCCTATCCTGAAAATTTGGTTAATGTACTCAGTGAAATGCCACTGGAGAAAATTAATTCTCCCTTTGCAAGTGGTATCATTTACAGATAATTCTTGTTTGGAGGTGGATGCCTGTGTCCTCTTCCCCGTCTCAATGCTGGAACTCCTCCTGACTTTAACCTGGATAGGCTCTGGGCTTGTTGCGACAGTTCTCTGTTAATTCATACATATGTCAATCTTACTGTGCCTGAAGAGCACTGTTTCCTTGGAGTCATCCCCTCTAGCTCTTACAGTCTTTCCTCCTCCTCTATGTAATTTGTTGAGCCCTTAGGGGAAGGGTTTGATGAAGACATTTCATTTAGGACAAAGTGCTCCAAAACCTCTCACTCTCTGCACATTGTCCGGTTGTGGGTCTCTGTGTTAATTTCCATCTACTGAGGGAAGAAACTTCTCCGGTGATGGCTGAGTGTGATACTGCTCTATGAGTGTATCATAATGTCACTAGGAGTTGGCCTTAAATCCAATCATAGTAGGGTAGTTGGGACTTTTCCAACTGTCACTTCATAGAGAACCACTTCCCTGTGGAAAACCCTGGCTCCTGGCACATATTTCATGGCTGGGACTGGGCAGGATGACAGGCTCAGGCATGGCTGGGAGTTGGATGCAGATACTGAGCTGGGAGCTCCAGGGAACAGATAGACAAAGGTGATGCATTCCTTGAAATAAAGGAAGGTGGTGAAGGGATCCGAAGGTTGACACACCAACTGAGGACTGACTATAGGGGTACATAGTCTTAGGGTTCTGGCTAGAAGGCATGTATTTCCCCATAAAGCCCCACAGAATTCCTAAGCCAAGAATTGGGTGTGGCCCCTTGGTTCCTGCCCCTTGTCACCACCTGTGCACAACTTTGTTCCCTCACTGCTCGAAGATTCCTTGGAGATGAAGGTTCGTCTTATGGGATAGTGCAGTGGTCTCTTAGTGTAGACCAGTAGAGAATGGGAACCATGAGACTACAATGGTGGCTGAGGAGAGTGACCTCGGCTCACGGTTACAAGTGCAGTCACCTCCGAGGAGAGCATGAGTGGATATATGGATTCTTCCCTATAGACTGCATTCTGTAGTGATATATTACTTATGATTTATTAAAGCTTGACTGAGGATTCAGAAAGCAAAGTCAGCCACAAGCCACAGAAGCCAGGAACACACCTTTAATCCCAGCAGCCAGATGCTAGGAGGTGGTAGTAAACACCTTTAATCCTAGGACTTGGGATTAAGGGATATCTGTGAGTCCAAGGCCACCCAGATCTACACAAGAGTGAATCAGTGTAAAACAGAATTATAGCTCACACCTTTAATCCCAACATTAGGGAAGTATATCAGATAGAAGCAAGGTCTCAATGAAGCATCTGTTCTCCAGCCACACTGAGGAGAGGCAGCAGTTTGAGACTTGGCGA